ATACCTTAGACCAATGATAGCAAACCTCAAAAGAGCTGACTGACATGAAATGTCCTCAGCAAATGGTTAATGGAGTATTGTGTAATTTTCACATTAGGATATTAGGTGTCCCAAAACTAGATCTGAACTCTGATTCTAAACAGGTCCACTTTAAATAACTTTCCTGAAGAACGAGGGCTATGGTATTATGCAGATTTCTGGCAGAAGATTTCAGTGAGTAACTGTGACCACAGAAAAATACATAAACTTCATGGGGAAAGGTCTCAGCATCTCTGCCCAGAACATTTGTGCTAGACAAGTAGGATCTACTTGAAGTATATATATGGTCTTAACAATACCCAAGCCAAGTCATATAGATCAAAACCAGCACTTTAAATTGTATCCAGAAGGCTATATTTTAATCTTTTTGAAGCCGAAATGCCAATACATGTAGAAGAGTACAGAGATGACCTTGGAGAAAACATATAGCATTGGTTAGTAAAACATGAGTTTAGCCTGATAAAACCTGAAGGTATAAGAAAGAAATTCAATATTGCCTCACTTTGACTCTTTTTGATATAAAAGGGAGGGAGAAATGCGTCAGGATTTCAAAATTTTATTTATCATTTATCTATTTTGAATACATTGTTTGAATGTATTAGCTGCTAAACTTCAGTGGACTCTAAGATAATGTTATTTTAACCTATGCCAATTATTTATAGTTAGAGTTCTAGTATTTTTTATGATGTTAGTTTCCTGACCTTGCCTACCTTGAAGAACTGACAGCATTCAGATTCTGTGCAAATAACAACTCTTGCTCACTAATAAATAGGCTGCTGAATTTTTTTGTCAACTTCATTTTAAAAGCAATCTCATGTAGAGAGCACTGCAGCAATTTAGTAACAAGAGTATGAGTCATTGTTGGCAGGGTTGTGTCCTACAAAAAGTGCCACAACTGGCACACCAGTTGAAGCTGGCCAGAATCTCTCTTCCCCAACCATGGTCTCCATCTCTTATCTGACTTTTGTCATGAATCTGGAAAGACCTCCTCAGACCATGTACCTTCTTTTTTCAAAGAAGGTGCTACTCCAGTCAGCTAGTCAGATGTTTTTTGGTCAAATAGTCAGTAGTCTTTCTGGGATTCAATTTCAATCTATTTCTTCACACCTGGGCCCTCACAGGATCCAGGCACAAGGTCAACACTTCCATTACATTACGGACTTGAGGCTCAGACGTCAGTCTAGGCATTAGAGTATACTCATGATATTCCATCACAAAGTGACAGAAGATTTCTCCCAGTAGGTTCATGTAATTATTCTCTGCCCATACTACCACTTACTAAAAATCACCCACTTAGGAAGGAGCAGAACCAGTGGTGGGATTCAGCCAGTTTACACCACTTCGGGAGAACCGGTTGTTAACTTTCTGAGTAGTTTGGCAAACTGGTTGTTGGAAGAAATTATTAGGGCAGAGAACCGGTTGTTAAATTACTTGAATCCCACCACTGAGCAGAACCACTGCAAAACAGTGTCCTTCATTCCCAATCATTACAGGAATCTCAGAACATAAGAGCAATGGAAGATAATTAGTGCCAACAAGAAGTAAAAAAGGACCAGAAATGTCTCATTGTCCTCATCTAGGTCCCAAATAGATCACCCACCAGCACAAACAGATTGGTTCCTGCTGGCTGTCTGGGTATGGAATGAGAAAAATCCACTGATATGGCCAGATCCAGATGATCCACAATCTGTTTCTTCAAGACAGATTATATCTGCCTCATTCAAGGCACATGCACTAACCCCTCTTCAAACAATGAGTGATCATCTCCCTTACCATCCAGCCACTGTCCAAGTGATGACTAAATCAGATTGCAAGCCACTCTTCTCCTGGAATGGTCCAAGTGCGAGGGTCACTTAGTTCCCATACCTCAGAACAGATGCTGCTGATGTGATGACCATACATTGTTTGCATTGTATTGCAAGCAATGTGATCATGCCTGAAATTGGAGTGACTTGGGGAACAATCACATACCCTTAGAAAGAGGTGAAGAAAAAAATTAGAAGGTTTCATATCAAGATGGAGCAAACTGAAGCTTAATTCACTTAAGAGACTTACAATAGTTCTGAAGAGAAAAGAGGATTCTCTGGTTTATAAAATTAATCTAGCTAGCCATGTGTCTGATGCATCCTCCTGAAAAGCCCTGCTCATCAGTTGGAATACCTGAAAGGACAATTATTCTTTGGCTAGCTCATATCTTTTTAAATAGGGAAAAGTATGATACGGTTGAAGTTGCTCCTTAAAGTAGCCATGCAGGGGTGAAATAAACAGGTTCTGACATGTTCTGTAGAACCAGTAGCGGAAATTGAGTAGTTCGAAGAACTGGCAAATACCACCTCTGGCTGGCCCCAGAGTTGGGTGGGAATGGAGATTTTGCAATATCCTTCCCCTGCCACGCCCACCAAGCCACACCACGCCCATCAAGCTATGCCTACAGAACCAGTAGTAAATTTTTTAAAAAAAAATACCACTGGTGCCATGGCTTCCAACTTGTATGAATTATGAATATCCATGAAGAAAATATGGTGAGGTATCTTTCCTCTTTTGGTCCTGAGGGAACAAAAGCATTTTTTGCAGGGTAAATCAAAGAATAATGCCTTCCTACTTTATCCTGCATGGACTCCTCTGTAAATGCAGGAGGAGACAAAGAGTATCCAATTCCTACTTCTTCCTACACAAACTCATGATATAATTGGAAATGTATTGTGGAATGATGTTCTTCTCAGTACAGCCCAATCCCAAGGCATAATTTTGCCCACTGGAGTAGGTGGGAAATGAAATCATGACCCTATGCTAGAAATAGTTCTCCAGAGTTCCATATAATATGTGTGTGTGTGCATGGATAAGCTTACACATAGTGCACACCTAATTAGTGATTACTCAGCAGTCAGGTGGAATTTCTTAAGCATATCTATCCTGTTGATCTAGCAGAGGATGCCTTTAAAAGTATAGGAATTTTCTCAGACTGTTTTATTTTTTGAACCAAATAAAATCTGACAAATTTTACCTTATTTGATTTAGTCCACTGTATTCAAGCATTTTTACTGATAGGCAACTTTAAGGAGCAGGATGAATAAGCACAAATAAATGTTGATGTAAATATGCTTATAAAATAACTATTTCTATGGAATGAATTTCCATAGAAATTGATGAATTGCATTATAGGGTATTGTAGAGACTTGATGATGTTCATCAACTTGAACAACGGGCAACGGGTAATTTTGAGGCTAAAAATAAGTCCTATGAAAACAGATAGAAGGACACCTGAAATATTTAGTCTTGAAGTGAGATGACTGAGAAGTTGATATGATTCTTGAAATGTTGTTTAAACCAATCACTGGAGAAAACAATTATATTTGGAATAGTTAGCAGCAAAAGGAAACTAGGCTGTCAAAGAACAAGGTAACTGGACACCATCAAAGCTGACACCAGCCAGAGCATAGAAAAATTCAAAGAAGTAATGCAAGATTGGAAGGTGTGGAGAGACCTGGCCCCTAGAATCACCAAGCGTCGGATACGACTGAATGGATAACATCATCAATAAAATTCCTTATACCACCAGGCTTGAAATTTTAGGCCTGGATAATCTTGAACTACACCGTCTATGTTCCAATCTAAGCTTAGTACACAAGATTATCTACCATAACGTCCTACCTATTAATGACTACTTTAACTTCAACCGCAATAACACAAGGGCTATCAATAGATACAAACTAAATCTAATCTGCTCTAACCTTGATTGCAGAAAATACGACTTCAACAATAGAGTAGTAAATGTCTGGAACACTCTACCTGATCCTGTTGTTAGTTTCTCTAACCCCCATACCTTTTACCTTAAACTGTCTACCATGAACCTTACACATTTCTTAAAAGGTCCCTAAGGGGGCATGCATAAGTGCACGAGCATGCCTACCGTCCCTGTCCTACTGTCCTCATTTATATGTACTCATTTTATGTGCTTATGGCTATGTTTTGCTTATTTATATCCATTTATTTGTGCCATTTTTTCATGTGTCCGTGTCTATGTCTATACTGATACTTGTTTTCTTGTACTTGTTGACAAACAAACAAACAAACAAATAAGTAAATAAATCTTCATGTCAAACCAAAAGAGAGGAGGACCCATTCTTTATCATTGAAGGATGCAAGAATAATGGCTTAAATTATAGGAAGGCAGATTCTAAGTTAGAAAAAGAAAACTTCCTAATTGTAATAGTAGTTTGGCAGCCAGAGTGGACTCCCTATCCCAATGGAGATGGTCAAGTGGAGGCTAGATACCAGGCAGCCATCTATTTGGGATATATAATTTGGATTTCTGCATTGACCAGTGGCTGGGCATAATGGCTTAGTGGTACCTTCCAGTTCTGCTATTCTTTCTCTCTTGTAGCTAGTGATACCTATTTTGTCGTTACACAAACTAGAAATGGAAATTTAATTTCCAAGATCATTAAACGCTAGGGATATTAAGCATAGACAAAATTAAGTGATGAATAATTTAGATTACGAATCTCCTGGCTTAATCATAAGGTTCATTTCTAGAAATATTCATGAGGAAGGGAGAAATCTATATCTGGTTAAATTTCAGACCTGCTAATTTATTTTTCTCTTCACTTAATTTTTAAAGATTTTTTTAAGTAAAAAAGCCACCTACTGTGAAGCGGATAGGCTTCAAAGAATGGCTGTAAGCTAGATTTTATGGCTGTTTTCATAATTATTTTTAATTGTGATCATCTTCAAGTAAAATCTGTGCTATTTCCTTGTTTCATCCAGAAGTTAATACCTGACTTTCTTAATAACACTACCAAAGACAAAACATATGATCCAATTTCACTGAAGAAGCAGTGTAGCATCTCATGCCTCTGAATGGAATATAATACAACTCTCATTTCTTTCTATTCACTTACTTCTGATATTTATTTCATGTGCTATCCCTGAATGCCATTTTTCTTCCATTATCATTACAGATGTTGGCTTCGACTTGATACCTATTTCATTTGGAGTTTTATAGGACCTGCAACTTTGATCATTATGGTAAGAATTCTTAACTAGCTCTGCTGTTTTCTGGAAATGCATCTTTAGGATCTTGCATGTCTTGCATCAAATGTAACTTAATTGGGAAAGGATGATGTCAGAAACCTGTCAATGGTATTTTCCACTATGGATGAACATTATAAAAATGTTTTGTTTTAAATCCCTGAAGATATTGTCACTGAATAGGAAGAAGCAGACTTGGCCATATAACCATAGCTCAAAGAGAGCAGAGAAGTGAGCCTTTGCAGGGGTATATCTAGTATACCAGTTAGGCCCTTTGCCGGATTGTGTGGTCCTTCAGATAGTCATTCATGCCCTGGTCACTTCACAATTGGATTACTATAAGCATGGGGTTACCTTGGAGGCCACTCAAAGCTACAGCTGGTACAGAATGTGGAGTTACAGACAGTGATGGTCACATGACCCCACTGCTTTGGGAACTGCACTGTTACCAGTTGGCTTCTGGGTGCAATTCAAGATGCTGATTATGACTTTTAAAGCTCTTCAGGGCCTTGGACCTATGTCTCTGAGGGACCACTCATCTCCAATTGTATGTGACCCTCTGTTCCATCTGATACAATCAAGGAAGATAGATGTGCTCAGGCCTAATTGATTAAGCAATTTCATCTTATGAGATCCAGGATGTCTCTTCTCAGTTGCACCATCTGCCCACTAGCTCAACATCCCCACCACCACAGAGGTTCATATGTCTTCTACCTTTAGGATCTTCAGCTCAAAACCTAGTTGTTTTTCCAGGCCTTCACTCAAAGTGGCCCCTTTAGTTAAGTTTGGTTTTTATAGATGGTTGTATTTTTCTTCCAGTCAGCTGCAAGTTCTTGTTATATGTATTGTTTTTTCTTTTTTCTTTGTAAGAGTTAAGGAGTTGAGTAGCCTCAAAACTGCATAATAAATGAGTAAATATGCATATTTCCTTAAAAGACCATTTTTCTGAAAAACTTTTCAGGAATATTCATTCTTATATTTTTCAGTTAAAGTTAAAACCAGAGGGGACTTTTTGAGAACTCACACTAATTTGTGTGAAAATAAATATCTGGTAGATTTCTTCAGGATTAAGTGCTGTACCTGTATTTTTTTTACAGGTGTTTTTCTTGTAAGAAAATGATTCAGTGCAAATCTATCAACATTTTTCCACAAGTGTTTTTTACCCCCATGCCATTCACTTTTTCTGTTTCCTAGACAAGATAATGCAAAGACAGACTGATAGATAGACTAACTGATCGGCTTTTTGGGCTACTTTATTTACTGTGTATTATTTGAAAGCAGTTAAACTCTACAATGCATCATTCCAGCCAGCCTGTCATAATATTTGTGAATTTTGAAGGTAGAACAAAATCTGAAATAGAAGAGAATTTAAGATTTTAAATGGCAAATCACATTCCAGATACAATTTATGTAGCCATATACAGGCAAATCAGCAAGATCTATATTTATATAGCTTTAACTTTTTCACTAGTTAATTGTGTAGTGAAATTTTTAGAAAACCAAGAGGCTCAATGGAGTATTGTCCCCTAAAGGCTCATATCTCATGAATGTCTTTCTTTTTAAGCAAGGGAAGACATTGAGTAAATTCACTCAGTTGCCTCCTCCGATTCACTTGGATTCTTAGTGTCTTTATCCAGAGATTTGCTGCTCACAAAATCACGGCAGTGAGCTTTGAGAAAATATAGAAAGCCCCTCTGAGTGCAATCACATTGAAATCATTTTTACATAATTCAGTGTAAGATTATGATATAACTATGGTGCCCTCAAAATTGGAAAAGGTATAAGAATTTGTGCCTCCCTTTAAAAGGATCAAAGTATTTTGGAGAATTTTTGTTTTGTAAAAACTCTTTTTTAAAAAAAAAAAGTTACCTTGAAAATTTCTACTTGAGCAGATGCACTAAATCTGGTTTGTTCTGAGTTAAAGATGACATTTTTAAATCCAGGATCTTAATGATTTACACCAAATTAGTGGTTGAATATGTTGAAATTGCCTGGTTTTCATAATGTTTCAGGACATTTATAGAAACAAAGCTCTTGTAATATAAGGGGGATATCTCTATCTTGTCTATTGAAATCTACTTTGTATTTTTCTATCTATTTTTATGGTACTGCTTTTTATTTTCAGTGTCCTACATACAGAATTACTTCATTCTGTCTTTGTTCAATCTTACAGAGTCTTATATATCAATCCTAGAATTGCTTGAAGAATAAGGATAAACACCCTCCAGAGACTCAGTTACCCAATGTGTCATGTTTCTCTTTTACTATTAGAAAAACCATTAAAACAAGTTTATTGTGGTTGGCATAGTTTTGTGAGTTTTATTTACTACTTTTCTATGAAAAGCTTTCTGTTGCCCATGCAAACTAATAAAGTCCATTGGACTTTATCTGCTGTGGATAATGCAAAGGCATAGTCAAGTCTATTTCTTATTGAGTACATATCAATTTATTCCTCATCAGACTTGGAGGAGGAAGGTCACAGGACAAGAATTCATCCATATAAAATGAATAATTATTGAAATATACTGCTAGAAAAAAAGTTCCTAATCTTCAGGGGGACATCTACTCTTTAGAACATAGATTCACTTTACTGTGTGGTATGGACAAGTAATTCAGTCTTGAGCATCTCTCTCTGCTTTTATTATAGTCCATAAATAGTTGTAGCATGTCAAAGAAAACTAGATTCATCCTTTTTCTTCTTCTTATAACTTGCCATTTTATTTTATTTATTTGATTTTATTTCAGCTTAATGTAATCTTCCTTGGAATTGCCCTTTATAAAATGTTTCATCATACTGCCATTCTGAAACCTGAATCAGGGTGTCTCGACAATATCAAGTAAGTAAATCCTTCCCTTTTTTTTATTGTTTCCAGCTGAACTACACAATGGAGTACCAAACTAAGCCACTTGTGTCCTCACACTGTACTTATGTCCTGAGTGAAATTAAGGGTGTCGGGGAGAACTAAATGCAGAGACAACTAAATAACTAAACTAACTGCAGCCAATGTATTGTGGATTTAAACCATCCCATTAGTGTCCATATTTTATTATTCAATTTTTCACACTAATGTCTTGCTTTGGGGTGAAGGGCAGGTAAGTGATATTCAGGCATAGCAAGCACATTGGATTTTCTTTTTCATGAAGTCATGGTGAGGGTCAGTAATCTTTCCAAATAATGGACATAGGTGTCAAAATAATAATAAGAAAAAATAGCAAAAATATCACAAACCTGAGGAATTTGCTGACATTTTAGCAATGTCTTTCTCAACTTTTTGTGTAAGAATTCAGAAATCTTGCAAGACTTTAGTCATGGAATTATATATAGTTTGGCAGTTATATGGCTGCCATTTGGCTGCCATTTAAGGTAACAATATAATTTGTACTGAATGTTGAAGCAATGAATGCAGAAGCAGGAAATAATTTTATATTGTTAATTTATTTCATATTGCTTGCAATATTTTGAATGCATAGATGGATTTTTTTCCCCTTGATTCAGTGTTAGCAAGAGTAATGTCTGGCCCACTTTTCTATGGTGAAATATATTGAATGTCTGTTTCTACTTCTCTGTTGGTCTGATTATATGGCCCTTGGATATTTATGTTTAAATAAACCAAAACAGAAACAAATCATGGGCACAGTTTTAAAAATGAATAATTTGAATAACACCTTCTTGGATTAAACAAAATTGGCAAACAGATTTTTAAAAAAATATTAGAGAAAAGTTAGGCCCATTATTTAAAAATATTATTAAACTACTATTCAGAAAGACATTACACAAACTGTATCAGAAAGATTATCAAAGATTATTACCCAAAAAAAAACCTGCTTGCCTTTCATGAAGAGATTTACCACCTTTGCAGCATCTTTCCTCTGACACTTACAAATACTTTCCAAAATTACATTTAGAAGAAAAAGCAAGGAACGGGTATTTCAGACCTTTAGCTACTCTTAATCCTGTAAAGTGGTCATTTCTTCTCCTCATGTAGACCACTATCTTATTGTCAAATGCTCTTGCAGATTACTTTTTGCGTGGACACACACACACACACACACACACACACACACACACACACAAGAATACATGCCTCTGTGTATGTATAAAGACCTGGTGACTTCTTTCAGCAGCACAACAGATACTACTTCTATCTCCCCCCCCCCCCCCCTTACAGTGATTATTTGGACACATAAATGTCAAGTGATTACTGTTGAAAGAAAGAAGATGGAAAATTGTTGAAAGCACATACTGAAGCTGTTTTTGAAAAAAAATGTTTAAAATGGCGAAATAGATTGAAAAGGCAATTGATGGTCTGTATTTGCTATTTGAAGAGAAATTGCTCAGCCTATGGAAGGATTTCTCTTTTAAAAGCAACAGAAAAAGAATCAATCCATCATTCTTGTCAGTGAACATACACAAACCTCTGTCCTGTGTCTTCATTTGTGTGTGTGTGTGTGTGTGTGTGTGGTGGGGGAAGGTGAAAAGAAGTGTTTGAAGAGAACTTCAAGAGGACAGCTGATCTATCATACTCTTCAAGACCTCAATGAGTCTGTGGCCCTTAAATTGGGATCTATTGTCTTAAAGCTTCATTGAGTTGTATAATAATCTCTTAGCTTGATTTTTTTTGTGCTACCTTCCTTGATGCTCATCTGGGAAAAAATTCTCTCTATCTAATCTATTTCCCTTTTCAGCATTCCTAAGATTTCCAGAATTACAAAATAGGTTTAGTGATACTCTTAATGACAAGAATTTAATAAGAATAGTTTTCTAAGTAGATATGTAGATGCATATGAACAAATCATAGACAATTTGATGCCTTATCCCTATATCAGGGGTGAAATGCTCCCAGTTCGGACCGGATCGCCCGATCCGGTAGCAATAACGGCGGGTGGTTCGGAGAACCGGTAGCAAAAATCCCTGCCCACCCACCCCCCATGCCCAGCTGAGCTGCGCAATCATCAGAGGCTTTTTTTTTAACTATTAAAAGTATAAAAGTTTTTTAAAAAAGCCTCTGATGATTGCGCGGCTCAGCTGGGATCGTCAGAGCCTTTTAAAAGCATTTTTTATAACCTCTTCGCCAAAGAGGTAGAAAAAATGCTTTTAAAAGTAAAAAAAAAAAGTTGGCCATGCCCACCCAGTCACATTACCTCCCCACCAAGCCACACCCACAGAACCGGTAGTAATAAATTTTACATTTCACCACTGCCCTTGTGTATGTGATTGTATATCACATACAATCACTGACAGAGAGATCTTATAAGATTTGGGGAGCAAGTTGGTGACCCTCTTCTGGAATGTGATCTGGTTTCTTATCTGCTGGGGAAGAGAGAGAGAAATGGGAGCATGCCATGGCAGACTTCCCACCCTGGTTGTCCTGTCACCTTACTTGAAGGTCAAGAGGCATCCTCTTGGTATTACTGCTGATCCATAATCATGGGTCATCATGGTTAATAATTACTGTAAGCACCTTCCAGTTTCTAGTGATTATAAAGCAACACTGCTGCAATTAGAATATTTGTTTGTAATCCCCTCCTGGAAAATCCTCAGTCTCATAATGATCACTACTTCTAAAAACCAATGTATAGATTAAAAGTTCAACAAAATGTCAGCCATAATTATCAGAGGCAGAAAAATCTTTTTTCCAAATAAGACTGTAAGATGAAAGGGGGAAGATAGATTTATAAAATTATGCGCAGTGTCAGATAAATTACATCCATTTCTGTCTGTTATCCAATGAAGCTGATTTGTACCAAAAAAAAATCTTAGTGCAATGCAATGCCTTGCAGCCAAAAGAGTCAAAAAGAGCTTAAGAACACACTGGTTGCAAATGTAGCCATTAGAACATAGAATAATAGAGTAGGAAGAGACCTTGGAGGTCTTCTAATCTAATCCAACCCCCTGCTCAAGCAGGAAACCCTATGCCATTTCAGACAAACAGTTGTCTAGTCTCTTTTTGAAAACCTCCATTGATGGAGCACCCACATCTTCTGAAGGGAAGCTATTTCATTGGTTGATTCCTCTAACCGTTAGGATTTTTCTCCTTAATTCTAGGTTGCTTTTTTCCATGGTTAGTTTCCATCCATTGTTTCTTGTCTTGCCTTGCCAGCAATTGTCTGCAATCCATTAAAGCAGCTGTATCTTTTCTCAGCATCACATTGCTGCCCTCCACAGCTGCTTTACGATCACAGGAAACAACTTATTTGGTTGAAGGAATTGCAGAGAAGTGCTGTATTTGCAGCTTTAAATAGTCCAAAATACCTTTTTGCCTTGAAATTCAAAGTATTCCACAGCTGCATAATTTACATAACTTACTTTTCCCAGAAAGCATTACTAGATTAAGTCTGTAAAAATAATTGGTTTAAACCTGGAAAATAAGAATACCAACCATCACCACTGTTGTTGTTATTTGTCACATTATCTGTTACATTCAGTATCTCAAGTAATTAGCTGAAAATTGTGAGAAGGCTAGATTTTAGATCACATTGGTTAATCTAAAGCAAAGTTTTTTCCCCACATGCTCTGAATTTTAGTTTAGCTGACAAATGTTGACACAACTGGTAGGTCTGCTGTAATTTAAAAAAAAGAAGAAATTGAATGCACATGTTTCTTCAGATTGCTCTTTATGGTAGATGGGGATACATATCTACTTAGAACATTCAATTTAGCTTGTTGTACAGAATAAAGTTTCTGTATTACTTTTTCTTCAGCTAGACTAATTAGGTAGAGAAGCTGTGTTCAACTATTATTCACAGAGATACATTTCCAGTGAAATATTCTTGAGAATCTGAGAATGAAACAAAAAGAAATAAAAGCTTCTCTACCGATACTGTCTTAAGAAGTTAAGATAAGTACACACAACTCTGCAGTCAGAAAAAGAACTTGCTGTATATTTGCAGCAAGTACAAAGTTATAGCCGTGCTTTGTGGAACAAGTAAAGAGAACTTGGAACATATGGAAGTGGCCATATTTCAGCTCTTAAGAAAAGATGATGTGATTATATCAAATCAGTTCTGTGCAATTGGAATTCAGACATAACTTTTAGATCCTTACAAAGGAAAAAGCACTGGTTCCCGAGACAAAGCATAGGAAACTATGCTGAACAGGTGGCTAGAAATGAACAGAGTGGATTCAACTGTACCTTCAAGAAGACGAAAAGAGTTGTAAGAGTTGGTGACTTGCTACTATGAGAAAAAGAAACTAGAAATAATATATATTGGCCAGATCTGCTGGCTTTGTCTGTGTGCTGTTTCCCAGAAGGGAAACAGATTCATCAAGTAGACCTTTCAAAGAATCTATGGAGTCTCTCAGTCATCCAGGTCATGGTTGTCACAAAGGTGCTTTTTTCAAAAAGCAACTGGGTTTTTCTCTGTTTTTTTCTTGAAGACATTTCATCCAAGAAGCATCCTCAGTTCTGCCTGAATGCTGGGGAATGGAAACATTTATATTCCATGTAGTCATCTGGTTGTTAGCACTTTGAAGGTCATGGTAAAAGAGGCCATCTATGTTAATATTGAACAGTCCTCTCTCAACAGAGGCAGAGGGATACAACACTACTTATCTCCTGTTTACAACACAGTCCTTTCAGCATTTCCAAAAAGATTCCACACCCATTTGCACTCTGATTCAGGTGACTTTGAAGACATAGATAAACCCCCAGCATTCAGGCAGAACTGAGGATGTTTTTTGGATAAGAAGTGAAACATCTTCAAGAAAAAACAAAGTCCAGATACCTTTTGAAAAGAGCACCTTTGGGATTGAGTCACAAGGTAGTAGACTCAGTAATTACCCCAATTTCCCTTGGAAGACAAGAGCTGCAAAACACAGTCATTTTAGGACATTCCTGACATTGTTTTACTTCAAAAGGATAGAGGAAAGTATGTGAGGTTTAACTATTCTTGACTCAACTGTAATTAATTTAGTTAAATGTGACCATTTAATATTGTAATTTTTGGTCCACTAAAGCTCAGCATAATCATATGTGTAGGTTAGATTTATAAAAGGCCAATTTTAATAAATCTATAGTCATGATTAACAGGGTAGATTGTAGAAATTACTAATAAGGAGCTGAAAATGGGTAGAATTTCCTAAATAGGTCATTTTAAAAGCAGAATTGCAAACAATTCCATGGTACCCAATGCCCTGCTCATAAAAGGAATGCAAATTAAATCATCCCTGAAACGAATTTGCAACTTTATTGGTTAATTAGTTCTACTGTCAAACTTCAGTTAGAACATTTTTTGAAAATCCAAACTTCTGTATGATCTCTTTCCAGATATCTGCGTGATATTGATATAGCCTCCCGACCCATGAACATTTTTCTCAAAGCTATCTATTCCTATCTCTTGCAATTTCTTTTTATAAATTTGATTTCTGCCCCAGTTTCTTCGAATTTTTCTTAGAATTGGACACAGTGCTTGAGGTGAGGCCTGACCAAAGTAGAATAAAGTGAAACAATTATTTCCTGTGATTTGAAAAACTATACTTTTCTTGATGCAGTCTAAAATGAGTTTAACATTTTTGCAGCCACATCACACTGCTGACACATATTCAGTTAGTAATCAACTACTATTCCAAGATCTTTTTCACAAGTACTTTTCCTTAATGAGATATCACTCAGACTATATTGGTTCGTTTGATTTCTGTTTCCTAAATGCATAACTTTGCATTTGTTAAATTTCATCCTTTTAAATTTTCATCACCTTCTTCTGAATTCCTCTCTTCTAAGATATTAGTTATTCCTCTCAATTTTGAAACAACTACAAATTTGATAAGTCTTCTATATCATGGTTATGATGATATAACAATTTAGATTGAACATATTATTTTACATATTGAAATGTTGACAAGTGCAGGGCCCAGGATTTAAGTGTATAGTCAGTATTAACTACAGTTTGACAGTGAACTACTGATTAGCTATTTACAGTGATCTTTTTCCTGTATCTGGGGGTGCTGTATCTGATCTCATTGTCTCTTTTCTCATACTCTGGGTGAACAGAGTAAATACAGTAGCTATTGTGAATGAACTTCATGAGTTCTTGAGTATTTTGTGGGTCCATACTTTGAGTATGAGAAATGCTTGTATATATACACTTGGATGATGCCCAAAGATTCCACATTCTGTTAAGGCAGAATCTCCTAAACTGTGAGATGTACCTCTCTTGTAGAGTCCAGAGGAGATTTGAAGAACATTTTAGTTGCGTAGGTAAAATAAATCTACCTTTCCCAAAGTTTCATTGTATCATTTTCATTGTTCATTTGTGTTCATTTTGGTGTTTACATATTTAGGGGAAATGTGTACTTTAAGATTATACTAAAGGGAGGTGCAAAAGGTTTAGGAACCCTATTTTAAGGCAAACAGAAAGTCTATCCTTCCATCCCCAAGAACAGTAGTTTTGACATTATTTAAAGAAACTCTTCTAATTACCTTTCAGGTTTTGTGACTGTGTGTTTATGTGTGTAAATATGTCAGAGAGATGTATTCAAATCCTTTTATATAGCTTGCGGGCAATATGTAAAAGGTTTCACTCACCTGACTCATTTCAAACTTCATATTTCTTGGCCATCGTTGGTGGGTAATATTACTAATTTCTTAAGTAATGTACTTCTGGGAAAGCAGTGCAGCTTACTATGCTCAGACTTCATGCAACAATAAAACTAAGAAATCCCAAGTCTATAAAACAAACTAGAACAAAAAAGGTCCTTTGGCTAAAAATATAGTATTGTCAGTCAAACTTCAAAGACATTGAAGTATCATACAGAAAAGATACAATAGCTCACCAAGCAAAATTCTTAACACTTGGATTATTGTGATGGGTCTTTAATGGTAAGTATCAAAATGTACTGTCCAAGTGATTACTCAGTAAGTGTGATTATTTTTTAAAACTTTGGGTAATAATGCTTCAAATGGCAACACAATTGACAATTCTAGAAGCCAAATAATGAATTGAGACTTTTGCATCATTTCAAGGGCTACACCACTTATAACTCATTATAATAATTAAGCAAGGAAATTAGTAAAACAAGAACTACTGAAGCTAAACTCGGTTCAGAAATAGCTGCTTTTAGCAAACAACTGAAGTTGGTGAAACATACCCCAAGAGCTGTTAAGATCCAATATAGAAAAAAGTGCTTCAGATCAGACATGGCCATAGATTTTTCAGTTTAAGCATTATGGAGGTCCTTCATCTTTCTTTGGTTTAGTTACATTTAAAAGTGTGGAAGTTGTTTTGGTGGGTAATACAATGTCAGCAAAGAACTTTTAAGAATCTTACAGTCGACAATAGATTTAAGCAAATCTGCTCATCATTTCTGACAGTTTTTCTTAAAAGATTGTGATGTTTCTCTGCACAAAAGTTATATTTTTAAGAATGATTGAATTGGTGTGTTTAAAATGTTTGTATTTTTCCTTGAGATCACATATGTATTCATACACATAATATATAGACATGGAACTGTTTTGTTTGTTTCTGTTTTTATTTGTCTTCCTTTTTAATTCTTCAGTTTTTTTGTCTTAATGTTTCTCTGTGCAGTTTGTTTTTAAATTAGGGAGTTATAATAAATTGTGAATTCATTTCCTTTTGAACTAGCAATTTTTCAGACAGACAGAAGCAATTTATTTATTTACTTATTCAATTTCTATAGACACCCATCTCAGCAAACAAATCTGAGTTACTCACAATTGATATGTACCATAATCAAACCAGTATACTATTAAAAATAGATATACCATATCAGTGTAGTGGTTAAGGAGTTGGACTAGGAGTAGGGAGATTCTAGTCCAGCCTCAGCCATGGAAGCTGGCTAAATTACTTTATGCCAGTCTATCTTCTTCAGTCAATCCTGCTTTACAGAGATATTATGTGGGAAATAATAGGATACAACACAATATACAGCACCTTAAATTCCTGTAGAAAACATGAGAAATAAATCTAATAAATGAATAATAAATTTAACAAACAACTGAAAGAGAAGAAAATGCTTCTGACTTTTTAACTCAGAAATCTCATCTATTCCTTCTAATACCTCAATTTCACTAATTGAGAGGCATCCCAGTAAAACAATTCAGAAATTATAATAGGTATCATCATTCAGAATTCTTAACAGTAAGTGTCTGATTATTAGACACTGGAACAGCTTTCCTCTAGAAGTTATGGGTGCTCCATCTCTGGAGGTTTCCAAGAAGAAATTGAACAAACATTTGTCCTGAATGGTATAGAGTCTCCTGTTCAAGCAGGGGTTGGACTAGAAGATCTCCAAGGTCCCTTCCAACTCTGTTATTCTATGTTGTATAATTACTTTTAGCATCATCAGTGTAGTGTAATTTGTACTCTTATTTAAGAGAGCTGATGGAGAAACAGGTTCAGCAAAAAAAAAAACCTCAAAATGTTTGGAATAATACATTGATCATGGCATAAATGTTTATAGAGATTTTTGTTCCACTTATACAGATGCAGAGTATTAACTTAAGATAGGAACTTACACACATATAGCTTGTTGGGGGTTGGGAAAATGATGTTCCATGTAACTGATGAAGTGTACTATAGTCAACATCATTCTTTGTCAGTTTTCCTGTCACAGATTACATACCTCCCTGTTGTAAAGACATCTATACTTCCAGAAAATATCTATTCAGCAGTAATAGATATGAGAAGGAAAACAAGATTTTTGAACTACATCATCCTTTATTCAAAAATTCATGCAGATCATAATTTTCATGTTATATTTTTAAAAAGAAATTGTCATGCGTGGTTATTTTCATATTATAGTATGTTTGTTTCTGAAATGACTAATTTCAAAAGCAGGACATGAAAATCAATGTTTAGGCAGAAAGAGTACAGCTGCAAACAATATTGCTTTTTGTTAAAGGCTGTAGAAATGTACTGTTAATTAAACAACAATTGGTGATTTTTCCTTGGTTGTTCACATTTTTGATAGGCTACCAAAGCATTATCTTTTAATGGCACTAAAAAAAAGGTTAGTTTTCAACCTGGTTGTCCAATTGTTTCTCTAGCTTTCTATGATTTGAATTGGAGATGAACTTGTTTGATTGCTTACCTACATGGTACCTTTTTGTCATTATATTCTAATGCTGACATTCTTGTCTTTATGTCTATGCATTCTTCAGCTTTGAGGATAACAGACCCTTCATCAAGTAAGAATGACCTGAATGACTGATAAATTCTATTTATCAGTGTGTTCTCATAAACTGGCTGTCAGATCAGTATTTAAAAATCATTACAGCTTCTGTCATTCACCTTTGAGAGAGGCAGAAGAGCAAACTGTGAGGGAAAAACTGTAAGGCCTAAAGTTTTATGCTGTATCTATCTTGATTGGCAATTACTTGGACATCTTATTCAATACTATTTATTATAGCTTTGAGATACCTTCTCCATTATATCCAGGACATTTATTGTGTTTTAGTTTATACTGGCTGATGCAGGTGATTGGCGGGTTTCTTTTTAAATGCAGGAGTCCGAATGCTCTTTATTTAATGTGAAAAAAGGATCCTAAACTGACAAGTTAAAGATACACAGAAATAAATAATTAATCAAAAGTATTTAAATCTATTTACATTTTTTGAAAACTGAAGACTAATAACACCCCTGTGGTTAGAACAGCTGAATGTTAAGAGACACAGCAAAATATTAATTATGGGCCTTAGATAATGCACCGCACTACCACCCCAAATCCTGCAATCAGTGGTATTATCTTTGCAAGTGCTGCTACTTTACAGTGGACTTTCAGTTTGTTCTTCTGGTGAAGAGTCATTTATGTTCATTTATTTTGTCTCATTCTCTTCATTGTCATTCTTTTACAAAATTATGAGATGCAATCTATTACACTGGGTTGTGATTACTGTATAGAGTCCAAATCTTAATTATGTATAATTATTAGCCAGTGTTAAAATATACCAGTTTATAACAAAATATTATCAGCTGCACCTTTTACATGCATCAGTTTTACAAACAGACACACAACATGGAGAAAATCTTTAATAATGTACTTCCTGCTTGATGTACATCTGTTACTGATTTGATTATACACTTCCTAAATCAATCATCTGTCCCTCCTGCATTTAACAAAAGATTAAGAGGAAGATTTTCTACTATATGTTTTTAGGAACAATAGCAGCCTCAAAGGAAAAAAAAACCATTTAAAAGAGTTGTTGAATAATTGTAGTGCTTTTTGGTAGGGGATGAGATGAATAAGCTATTAGAAGTTCTGGTGTGTCTTAATTCCTACAGCAGATTTTCCTCTTTGCAGGTGGTTGCCTCATTATGCCAGCAGAAACCTCTACCACTACCATTATTCCAGTGGTAGTTGGGTAAATGGAATGTGTTTAGTTTGGGACCATGGATTCCAGAAGTCAGTGGAAATGCTTATTTTAAAAAAAGATTGATTAATAGGGAAAGTGCAGCAAAAAAGGAAAAAGCTACTTCCTCAGCTTCTACCTTGGCTGATCTAAGTAGTCCTAGGGAAATGTTCATTTCTCTGATAAGGATTTTTTCCAATAGCATTGATGGGACAAGATCCTTAAAATATAGATTCAGCTAACACTTCTTTCAATAATTCTATTCCATTGTTGCTCTTATATTTTGGAGGAAGAGCTAAAGTTGAAAATATTTGTCTAACTTTGGAATGTCTATTGTGGTTCCCTGGGCACATTTCTTGATCCTGCCAAACTCCCACCCCTATTTGACAGTTCATATGTATTCTTAGTTTATTTACCAGAATGCCTCGGGTCATGTATGATTTTGTTAGAACATACAAATGGGGAATGAGGATAGCATTGTCACCAGTTTGCCTTCTAAATGTATAAATGCTTTGAAAATAACTGTGCCCACTGTAACAGTCATTCGGTGAATTGACAAGACCTCCCTGTGAAAGGATCCATCACATGTTCTCAAAATTCCATATTTTCTCACCAAAACAAATGTGTATTTAGCCTTGATCCACGTCAACTTCTAAATTCATAATGATTGTCATGTGCACTAGGAAATTCCTGATTCACAATTCATTTTCTTAGCAAATGTATTATATGGCCTAGCTGACCTTGTTCATACTAGTTCAAAAAGATTTCCAAGATTGGATTTGGCTAGTACTTAGGTCAAAGAAGAGGAGCAGTAGCAGGAGATGCTATCAAGCACTTCTATGCTGTTACCCAGAAAACTATAGGAATGTGCCCATGAAGTCTCTCAAAGAGTGATTTTTATAAGCAATTCTTATCTCTCCTAAAAACTGACAAATCAAAAGAACTATATTTTTTATAAAAATAATCAAAATAAGATTAGGAATCATTTTGTTGTATCATTATGTTTCATGCATTTTTAAAATAGAATAGAATTCTTTATTGGCTGTGTGTGATTGGACACACAAGGGATTTGTCTTTGGTGCATATGCTCTCAGTGTACATTAAAAAATACATTCATCAAGAACTAATAACATATCTTCATCATTATAGCATGTTGCACTATTTAGCTTCTTCTAATTCATTTACTTAATTACAAATTATTATACTTATTCATTCTTTTTATCCTACATTTATCCTTTTCAGTAATACATCAAAATCACTTTAGATGATCAGCCACCTTAACCCTTAGAATATATACACTACATTGTTGCTTTGCAGTACCTAAAATTCAGCTAATCAGATTAGTACTTTATTTCAGTCATTGATCTGCCTTAAATGACATAAGGCATAGAAACTCAGTTATGTAAGATTAAAAAATGAATACGATATATAAATGGAATAAAGAAAGATAAATTGAAGATAGCAATAATGGGTGGTTTTTTTTTTAAATTCAAATAAACCAGTTAGATCTCTGAGACTATTAGCAATAAATCTTCAACAGACAACACATGGATTCCCAGAAATTTTAAATTATTTTTATACACTGCACACTGGCAGTGGAGCAACACATTACCATTCATGTAGTCTAATATGTCATCAGGAAGGTAAAATACAAAACAGTAAAATGATATCTAATTTCTAACAGGGAGACCAGTTTGAAGGCTCATTCAAATATCCTCTCTAACTGCAACTGGAAAATGCCTTACTAATCATTCTCTAAGGACACGACCCTGTGATAGAGCTTTCGTCTCAACCCAAGTTAATCTGCAGTTCGTCCATGCTGTAAATGGGGGTTCCCAACAAAGCTGGAGAAGGCAGGAAGCCTTCATCCATCTCATGGAGGAGGTTTGATAGATGGCTAAGCCTGTGAGTCTAACCATTTGTCAAAACCCACATCCTCTACTGAGGAAAGCATTAGGGAAAGCAGTTGGTGATGTCACTCCCCCATCAGGAATTCTACGGATCATTTTCCTTAATTTATTCCCTATTAAAGCTAAAGAGGCAGAAAGAGCTAGACTGTTGAGACAGAATAAGTGATGCTGGAATATTTTGTGCCATCTCATTGTCTGTCTATCTCCAGTACCCTATATACTGGGAACCATGTACCCAAGCAGTTGGTAGATTTCCCATCAATAAATGGGTTCAAGAGAAGCCTAGCTAGTAGTGCCTTAAGTCTGGTTTCCTGCATTGGACTTAATGATCTAAATCCTCCCTATTCTACGATTTTGTGAAGAGGAAATAATCTAAATTTGTTACTACAAGAACACAAATAGTCAACCAACAAAATAATCTAAGAGCCTTGGTGGCACAGCAGACTAAAGCACTGTTAAGTAACACCAGCTGCCTGCAATTACTACAAGTTCAAACCTCACCAGGCTCAAGGTTGACTCAGCCTTCCATCCTTTCGAGGTAGGTAAAATGAGGACCCGGTTTGTGGCGGCAATAAGCTGACTTTGTATAAAAAAGAACACCACTTAGGGGGCCCCGAAAGCCCTACTAAGCAGGTATATACAAAAGTATGAAGGCTATTGCTTAATGCATTGTAAGCCACCCTGAGTCTCCGGAAAAGGGCAGCATATAAATCGAACCAACAAATAAATAAATAAATATTCAGATTTAAATCTTTATGCACAGATTATTAGTCTGGCTAAAATACATATGCTGTTGGAGGACTATGGTCCTGCTCCTTCATTGCTACATATTATGCAGCCCTTGATCTGTTCTTTTCTATTAGAAATTCACAGATCAGCTAACTACTATTTTGCTTTTCTGGGATCTTCTTTTCCATGTAATATATGAGCTTCTCTTTCTCCTATTCACTAGTTACAAACAGATCTCTTCCTTTCAACAAAAAATATGAAATTCATGAAATGTTTATAGATCTAGGAACTTTGATCTGTGACCCTTAACCGTTTCTGAAAATTGTGTGAATCTGGGAGCTTCATGTAAGGCTGTAAGCATTTTACATTCTGTTAGCCTTACCAGGTAGATTAGACAGAAAACACGACATGATCAGCTAATTCTACTGAATTGTAAGGTTAAAGATATTAACATAATCTTGCAAGTTTGAAAGTACAATTCTCCCTCCATCTCTTCTACCGCCAAGATATTAGAAAAGATCTCTTCTAAACTCTAGCCTGCCTACTATCCAGTTTTGGACTATGCCATCTCTTATTTGACCACTTCCTAAGCAGCAGTTCTGGGCCCAACCCCCCAAGGTCTATCTCCTGCAAATTGTGCCTATTTTTGCTTTAATAGGATCAAAATATTTGACTCTATTTTTCTGTGATTTCTGTTTCTAATTGTCTTTTCTAACAGTCTCATTCACAGTTGTTATCTTGGTTGTGATTCTGACAAAGCTTGCAAACTATGATGATTATCAAAGTGGAATATGCAGACTGTGTTTACATCAGAGAAACTTTTTTTTTATAAAATCAGGAGAATTAGAGTACAGTTTATTCTCAGATATGAAACCAGGATTTATAATTAGTTTGCAGGCCCAGGGCATAGGTGAAAGAAGATTTTTAACATAATAAAAGAGGTTTGAACAATTTCTTTCTATCTCCCTATTGCCTTGTGAATAGTTGATACTGATTGTCATATGAATAAATTTATACTTCTAAGCAAATTGTGCAAACTTTCCCCCCATGAACAGTGAAGCATTATCTGTTATTAATTTATCAGGGCATTTTTATCTAATTATTATGTTTTCTAAAACAATTGATGAGAGTAAAATTTATAAGATTGGCAGAAGTTGCAGTCTGAGAATGATGGAATTACAGTTAATCAACTAAATGCTT